CTGTTTGAATATGTGAACAACCCATTTTGTCCAAGCACTCGCAAAAAAAATGAAAAAAATTAAGTGAAAAAAATCCCCCATTAAAGTCTCCTTTTCAAAAACAAAATAATAATAATAACGAAATAAATAAATAAATAATATTAAATGAAAAATGCCCTTTGATCCCTTTCTTGTAAACTAGGTTGAAAAGTTGTCTAATAAATTACTACCTATTAACGTCAAAGTTGCTAATCTCCCTTATTTGATTTTCAAATCCTTCATGGTCAGAAAATTTTAGGAAATGTTTGGAAACCATAATAATGATGGCTAAATAAAAATAAATAAATAAAAAAATTTATGATTTGGGAGATTGTGTCATTATGGAGAGAAGCACTAATTTTCATCTATAGAAGGGAAAGGAAGGTGTTGGATCAAGGAGGAAAAAAAGGGGACAAAAAGAAAAAAGCTTGAGAAGAGAGTGTGTTGAAAAGGTAGAGAATGTTTGCCTTTTTCCTCTTGTATCATCTTCACTTATGATAATATGGGATTAGGAATGGGTAGAGATGCCCTAAATAAGATGATAGCCATTATTGCTCTTTATTCTAAAATGCCCCAAGGAAAGCAATACTCTCGTACTTGTGATCACATATGTGATCTTCAAAAATGTTAAAAGCTGAGGGGTATGTGATTGATAATGATTTAGTTAATCCTTTTGTTTTCCATACCCCTTTCTTGGTTTTAATTTTGCCTGTCATGTGTATAAACATATGTTTGCGGTGCCTTGTGTTTATGATTTCTTTTTATCTCTATCATGGATCTATCTTCGGTGCCCATCAGCTTGTTGAGCGTCGAGGTGCTTATCACCCTTAAAAAAAAATATGGGCAATTTAGATTAAATTTGGATGGCTCAAATTTTTTATTTTTATTTTTAATTTTATATTTATAAAAATAAAAGTTTGCAAATTTTTTTGATAAATATATTTATCATCAATCTGGACAATATTGATTTAATTTGGGTGGTTCAATTTAATATTATAATTTTTTATAAATTGATAATCTAAATATACTCTGGACCATGGTATTGAAACCCGGACCGGACCGGCCGGGTCAATCCGAAAACCGGTGACCCAATCTCTTATTCAGTCTAGGTTTACTCCTAAACAGGTGTAACCCAGTCAACCCGGGTTCAACCCGGTATAACCTGGTTAACCCGGTGGGTTGACTGGGTTAACCGGGTTATTTTTTTTGAGAATTTTTTTTCATTTTTTATTTTTTAGAGTGCTGAATTGAGAATTCAGAAATGAGATAACAAAAAAAAGTAAAACTAAAGTCAAAAAATGAAAAATTAGAGGTAGAGCATGCTAAATCCAATTCATATTTTCAGACAGCATTTAGTTCGGCCTTTCATCTGTGTCTCTCCTCTCTCGCCCTAACTTAATTAACGTCTCTTCTCTAACTTAGTCTTCGTCTCTTCTTCAGGCTCTAGTCTATCTTCATCTCTTCTCCAGCTTTATCTCTATCTCTACTATCTTCATCTCTTCTCCAGCTTAGTCTCTGACTCTTCGTCTTTTTTTTAACTCAATCTCCGTCTCTTCTCCAACTCTATCTCCATCTCTTCTCTAGACTTTTGAGATTGAAGAGTTGTAATTGTAATGATAGATATTTAAAATGTTGTATTTTATTACTGTTATACTTTTGAGTGATTGGATTTAGTTGAATATTTTTATAATTAATGTCTTTTTATTTAAATTGTATTATTTTAATCATGACCGATTTGCCACCGGTTCAACCCTAATTGAACTACTAACCCATGACCCAGTGCCATGACCGGTTCGATGACCAGTCCGGTTTTACGTACCTTGCTTTGGACAGTCCAGATTCAATAAATAAAAAAAGTGGAAAATTGTGATTTGTGAACACTAAACAAAGCGTTAACTACATGCGTCGTCCATGAAACTGAAAATGTAGAAGAAAGACAAATAGTTAAGATGACAAGATGATTCTTTAAAATTATAAAAAATGGAGATCAAGTCTCCATCACCGATCAACATACAATACAAATCTCCCATACACAGACACCTCTCATCCTCAATTCAACACCCTCCCAAAAGACTCAGCATCGTCACTAGTTAATATTTATCGTCACTTGGCTCTCAATGCTTCTTTCAACACCCAACATTCAAGCTTTCATCAAATTCTTCAAACATCGTCAGTATATTCACAAATCCTCTGCACTATTGCACAACGTAGCTCATTTAATTTGTGTTTTTCTCATATTAATTTCTCACTATATATATATATATATGGATCATTTTCAGGTTCTATATTTCAAGCTCTTGATTCCTAAATTCCTCCCCAATTACATTTTTATATATTTGTATTTTGAAAAAAAAAATGCCGTGGCAAAATATTTGACAACTGGGTTTATATTTAAGTCAAGTCACATATACTATCATTTTAATAAGTTCACAAACAGTGCCACCATGCATCTTGAACACTAAAAGAAGGAGGACAGTGTTAGATTAATGATTAACCAATTAAGGAAAATGTTGGTTTCAGAGTAAGGATTTGGTAATCCAGCATTATGATTATTATCATTGCAATAAACATTAATAACAGCATGAGGGATTTGCCCACTAACAACATGAAGCCCAATGGAACCATGCATTCGCATAAGGGAAAATGTCAATTAAATCCTAAAATATTGGATTAATAATATTGAAGTTCTCAATAATTTTTTTTAAAATGAGTTACAAATTTTGATTTAAACAATTACAAATATAACTCTCATATTTAGAATTCTCATTCGCAACTATCTAAATTAATATTTGTAATTTATTTTTTAAAAATAATTATCAAGAACGACTAACTGTTAAGACTTAATTGTAATTCTTCCTTCACTTATCATTCAACACTTCGCCAACGTGCAAATCGCCAATGAGCATCTTTGACCCCAGACGTTTCCAAGCTGTCCATATTCGTAGTAATACTTTTTTAATCCCATGCAATGAAATGTTTTTTTATCGTTAATAAATTTACATAAATGATAAAATTTACCTTATTGAAAATAAAATAATCACAAATTTTATTGAAATAATTATAATTTTTTTTTCTTATATTCACAACAATATAACAGTAAATCACAATTTCACATATCAAAATTCTGATATTGCAACAAGTGTTAAAAATAACAAGTAATGATTACAAGTTTTGTTTGAATAATTATAATTTTCCTTCTTATATTACAATAATGTAACAACAAATCACAAATTTTCATGCATGTCAAATTTTATTGCCACAAGGATAATTTAATCATTTCTATAAATTTATTAATGATAAAAAAATTTTAAAAATTTCAGCGGAATTATGATATTTTAAAAAACTAGATTGTTATTTATATAATTTAAAAGAATTTTATTATCATTTTTTTCAAAAATTAAAATTCAAACTGAACCGACTGGTTAATCGGTGAATCAACGAACCTGCACCTAATCTGGTGGTCTGGTTTATATTCGTGATACTTAATTTAATTGTTTCGTAGATCTTAAGTTAAATCGTAAATTTCATATTATATTATATGCACAGGTCGATCGGGCCAACCGTTGACTTTTTTTTCGCATCAGAAACACGAAGCGTGTACTAACAGTAACACTCTGAAGCAAGGAGCTGCAGTTTGACATTTTCAGAGGACGAAAACATGATTCCCGTACATCATTGACCTCCACGATTATGTCATCTTCCCCATCTTTATCATTAATGAGTCTACCAATCCCACCAGACTTTAGCCTTTGATTTCTTCAACATCTTTGCATTAGGTCAACGCTTGGATTAAATAATGAAAGCCCTTTCCGCATAGATTTGCAATATTGAACATACAACCATATAATTGGGATATTTTTACTATCTTTTACTAGTGAAAAATAACAAATAATAGAGAGAATGATTGTTAAATCATAAAAAAGGCAATTAATAACAGTTAGGTTTTTAATAAATTTTTTTGAAAAATAAAGTATAAATATCAAATTAAATAATTATAAATTTAAAAGTTTCAAATACAAATGATATTATATTTATGTTATAAATGTAACTCTATTTATAATTGAGATTTTTATCTATAGGAACGTAACTGTTATTAATTCCCCTCCTTTGGTACTTTACCATAACATTAACACTGTGCTTGACTTGCAAGGCAAAAGAGGGAGAAAAGAAAATGAAGAGAAGAGAAAAGTGAAAGGATGTAATTTTTTTTCATGGTGTTTGGCTAAACAAAGGAAAATAGGACAAAGAGAAAAGTTGTTAATTTTATATGATAATAATAATCTTATTATTTATAACATATTTATATATAACAAAATTTAATATTTTAACATATTACATATGAATAATTTCTATCATATATAAACCCATCTCCATGAGAGTTATGGTTTTCGATTGAATTGAAAATTCCAAGAAGCATGGTTTTTTAAAATTCTGTGTATAATGTTCTTCCAACAAAATCAGTTTCAAAATCTAAAACCAATAGTTGAGAGAGAAAGAGAAATGAAAAAAAAAAATCTAATTTTTGAAATGAGACAAATCCCAGTTAGGGCAACGAGAGGTAGATCATCAATTCAATGAATTCTGATGAGATGTAGATCAGTTTGGTGTTGCTACGACCCAACTGTGCAGCTCCTGTAGATCAGTTAGTTTATTTTTTCTCAACACTTTTCTCTCCTCCCTACTTGTCTCTTCTACCAAGCACACTGGATATTTCTCATCAAACTTTTAAACACTGTGCTTCGCTGCAGAGCGGATACGCTTGGCTTTATCATCAGACTATGAAGCTACATATGAAATTCTGATAGCAAGTGGGAAATTGACCTTTAGTTAGTGGGAAATTGCCCTTCTCAATAATATTCTCAATGGCATCTTCTATGAATACAATGCTAAACCGTCCTATGAATATATTCAAACGTCAAACTTTGAGGCTTTCGTGACAACCAACCAACTCCATCGCCCTATAAATAAATGTTGGACCACGATATAGCTTCACCACCATACCACAACCCAAACAGCTTACACCATCATGTCTAAATCCTCTCAAGCTTTCCCATTCCTCCTCTTCCTTTTTCTCCTTAGATCCTCCGATGCCTCACCACGTGGCGGTGTCGCCATCTACTGGGGCCAAAACGGTAACGAGGGAACCCTGTCAGAGGCGTGCGCCACCGGGAAATATGCCTATGTTAATGTAGCTTTTCTCATCCAGTTCGGCAACGGTCAAACCCAACAGATGAATCTCGCAGGCCATTGTAACCCCGCAATCGCCGGTTCATGCGTCAAGTTTAGCTCCGAGATCAAAGACTGTCAAGCAAAAGGAATCAAAGTGTTGCTCTCCATCGGCGGCGGCGTCGGGAGCTACTCTCTTTCCTCCGTCGAGGATGCCAGAAACGTTTCCAAGTACCTGTGGGACACTTTCTTGGGAGGCAAGTCATCGTCGAGGCCTCTAGGCGACGCCGTTTTAGACGGAATAGACTTCGACATTGAGCTTGGCTCGACGCAGTACTATGATCATCTTGCTCGTTTCCTGAAGAACTACGGCGTGGCCAGAGGAAAGAGGGTATACATAAGTGGGGCCCCACAGTGCCCTTTCCCTGATAGATTTCTGGGCACTGCCCTCAGCACAGGGCTTTTTGACTTTGTTTGGGTTCAGTTCTATAATAATCGTCCGTGTCAGTATGCTAATGGGAACATCACGAACCTTGTGAATTCGTGGAACACATGGACACGTTCGGTGCCAGCGCCGCAGATATTTTTGGGGTTGCCGGCAGCTCCGGCGGCAGCCGGAAGTGGGTATATTCCGGCTGATGTGTTGACATCGGAAATCCTGCCGGTGATCAAGAAGTCACCGAAGTACGGAGGAGTGATGTTGTGGTCAAGGTTTCATGATAAGCAGAGTGGATACTCTGATTCAATTATTGGTAGCGTGTGAAGAGATGTTGTAAGAAAAACTGAATGTTTCGCATCAAGTTGTTTGTTATTATAAAATTGGCTGTGCGTAATTTCTATTTACCTCATTAATAAAGGAAAGCAAAAATCATTTTTTATTATTGTTTTTTAAAAGGAAAGAAAATATACTTGGGAATTTTTTAAGTCATGAGAACTGTTGGAGTTCGAGTATATTTACCCAAAAAAAAAAATCCCCCTTTTATTATTATAAAGCATATTTTAAAAATTATACTCCCATTATTCAAAAACGTAAGTCATTTTTAATCGACTTTTGCCTTCTAATAAAGTAATTATTTTTTTTCAACCTAACTCTATCTTTTTATATTTACTCATATTTAATATGGTGTTTTACCCTAAAATAAATATAAAAAAATTTATTCAATAAAAATATTTTAAAAAATAATAATTACACCTTAAAAAGACAAACAGTATTTAAAGAAAGGTATATTTTTTGGCCCAAAAAAATTAATTAATTAAAAAAAGAAAGGTATATTTGAAAAAGATGAAAATGTTAAAGGGACATTAATTAATTAAGGGTAAGGGTGTGCATCTTAAGTATTTTTTGAGAAACACCCAGCACCCTAATATTTTTGTTAGACCAATTTTGTCCTTAAAGTTATCAAAACAAAACATTTTTGTTCTTTTTGTCAAATTTTTTTAACGATCAATGTTTGAAATCAATGTTGAAAATTTAATATAAATGATAAAAATGCTCCGTTTTAATAACATCAATGACAAAATTGCTCCAACAAAAACATTAAGATGCTAGATGCTCCTTAAAAAAATACTTTAGGAAAAAATAACACCTTTGCACATAATTAATTACATCAGCCTGTATGAATTAATTAAAAGTATATTATAATGGTAAAAAGTAATGAATAAAAAAGTTGCTAGAGTATATATCAAGTGGGAACGTACCTTGTTTCTTTTAATGAAATAAATAAGATTGGCATAATGAAATAAAAATGCACTCTTCACTCAAGTTGGAGAACTAATTTGGATATTTCCAATTTCCTACAAACTTTATCTTAAAATTTCATGGATTAGTACTATTTTGAATTAATTCTTCATAAATTGGTGTTTTTAAAGTCAAGTTAAATTATTTTCAATGAGAGATGCCTAACGCGCGCGAGCTCTAAAAGATATTGCTTTCGCATATTTTGAAATAAGTGTAATGAGAGTTTTAAGTGAATAGAGTGAAAAAAGATAAAACAAAATCCACAACTAATTAGGACTGCACCAGATCAGACAGGGTTAGTTCCAAACTTGAGGTCTGACCCAATTTTAGTTATGGTCCAGTCCAGAGTAAACCTGACAGGGGCACTAACTACGCCTGAAGCATGTTCTTTCCTCCTTTTCTCCTGGTACAACAGCTAAAATCTTGGGAATTCTTAAAACTCTATCTTTGCCTGAAGGACAAATGTCACAAAGTCAACATCCACTATGATTCTGCTAAGGCTATCACTTTCATCCATAACAAGCAATCCCAAAATCTTCAGGAAAACTAGGATCTTGTTATGCACAAATAGATAATCACCATTAATCACGTCTACAATAATAATAATAATAATAATAATAATAATAATAAATAACCGCAAAGACTGGCTAGCAATCAAGAAAACCAAAGTGTTTGATACAATACAAGGATCCTCAATCAAGAAAGGTGTAACAACTCTCTGCTTGCTGACCCGACATGGCCTTGTTTTCTTTTGCACGATTTCTTGGGTGGCCTTGTTTTACCCGGCGAGGGGAAAAAAAAAGAAAGAAAGTTCTTTTCACATTCTAATGTGTGCTTGGGTAAAATTAGTACTTTTTCACTTTTAATATGTGAAAAGTTGTTTGGAAAAAAAAGAGAGAGATGAAAATGTATCTTAAAAATATTTTAAAAATGTTATTGAAAGTGAATTTAATAAATATAAAATGATGGAGCTTTTAAAAAATAAATTAATTTGATCATAATATTTCAAGTATAATCTATTATTCTTTAGTTAAAAAATATTCTTAATTCATTAAAAATATAATAATTATTTAAATAATAATAATTAAAAATTAAATTTTTAACATTATACATTGAATAATTAATCATGTTAATTTTTAGAATTGATATACATTCAACCAATAAATCAACTTGTTTTATACTTTTATTATTTAATAAATCAAATTTTATATTATTTAAAATTTTTATTAACCAACACAGATTTATCCAATTGGTTAAACATTTTTTGAATAAAAAAATGTATCATATATATTTTTTGAATCATGTTAAATTTTAATATTAATGTATGTTAAACTATTTATTATATGATTTTTCCAACATATCAAACTTTATATTTTTATATTCTTATTATTTAACAAATTAAATTTTATGATATTTAAATTTTTCATATTTTCTAAACATTTCAATTGTATCATATTTATATAACAAAAATTATAAATTATCATAAATTAATATTTTTTATCACTGAATATTGAAAAACACATTTCAAAAGTATAAATCATCATTAATCCAAGCATCTTTCAGTACATCAAACTGATTTTTTAAAAAAAATTATATCTAAAAACAAATTTTATTATAATAATTGATTTTTATTAAATTGATTTTTACCAAATGAGTTTTAAACAAACAAACTTTTTTAATAAAGTGAGCCAAACACATAAATGTATCACAACCATTCAATATTATTGATTGCTTTCTTACGGTGATCAAGTTCTGGAAAAAGAGTATCACAGTTCGATCCCCAGTCTGTCGACATAGGACGAAACTGCTTCTCTTTCCAACCTCTAAAAAAATTCAATCCCACATGCTACAACCTAGATAGTAATTTTAAAACGTAACCAAAAAAAAACAAAATCATATAATAAAACAATTAAAAAAAACATTTTAAACCAAACAAACAAGCAATTCGGAAATCAAACCACCAAGAGGCAAAGGGGTAACATGATGCTATTTGCTATTCTAGACTAGATTATCCTGTTGCATGGGTTCAAAACCTAACCAGTGGTAGTACCCATCTTTCGTTGCTGTTTACACTTGCCGGACCTGGATGTTGTGAGTGGACTGGGACCTCCATATGGGTTGTCTGCCACTCTGTACAAGGGCCACTTCTTCTCCTTCCTTCACCATCCCTTGTTTCTGAAGGTAGAAACCATGGATATGTAATCATCACAAGTGCACGGAAAAGCAAATAGGAAAAGAGTAAAACAAGCATTGACATAAGCAGTCATTTGCAGACAAATCAATCGTAAGTAGATGAAAGCATGTTAGGCAAGTCTTGCCTTACATTTCCTCACTTTGATTATTGATTGATTTTTCATTTCATAGCCACAATAAAGAACATCAAGTGAAATTGTTAGGTTGACAACGTCTACCAAAAAATGATAGACCAAGTCAATCGTAAGTAGACATGTAAGCATGTTTGAAGTAAGTCGGTAACCATGCCTTCATGTTAGCTTATCAATTTTTGGTAGATCAGAATCTACCTATCCCAAGAATCAAAAGATTAAAGTTTAATAGAGTTAACGAACCCTTCGAAAACAATCCCAACAGCATACTACTTGCTGTCGTTAGAAAGAGTGGACCATGAAACTAGATAGTGCAAGATATGACAAAGCAACAAATTTTATCAAGGTCAAAACTTTCAGTCAAATTTTTTTTTAATTAAAGAGATAGGCACTAATGGCCTGAGGTTACAAGCGAGATAAAACCCACAACCTTCTACTTATAGGGCAGTTTACATACCACTAGGCTACAAGATGTAGCCATTAATTTACAAGTGGGATAGAATTCACAACCTCCCACTTATAGGGGAGCTTTCAGTCAAATTTCAATCATGAAAGAGGAGGAATTAAATAGTAAATAGTAACCACCTTTTCCTTTGCTCCTGTTTCGTTTTTTTTTTTTTTGGGGTGGGGGAGGGGGTATCAACTCTCAACATCTCAATGATAGTTTATTTACCAAGGGGGAAAACAAAAATGCTTCAAAACAATACCTGGAGTAAGCCTAGCGCTCTGGTGAAAGTCTCCTCCGCATCGTCGGAGAATTCCATAAATATGGGACACACCCCTTGATACAAAGCCAGTCGCTGTTGTATCCTCTTACTGTGTGGGCAGCAAAATTTTCAGTTTTCTGACAATACAGCTTTCACAAAAACATAATATATATAATAAAAAACAGTAAGATGAATTTAGATTTTTAAGATGTAATGCACACATCGTCAGGGAAAGAATGGAATGATTTCCAAGGTGTCCATCGACCAGATGTATCAGTTAAATCTAGAGGATTAGGCAATTTGTAACATCGTAAATGCAAATATTCACCAATCAAGCAGCTTTATGAGTCACTAGGCACAGATAATCAACCAAGTTCATAACTAAATACATCCAAATGTCTTTCAAGGGGAAGAAAAAGCATCCAAAATTTTCGTCCGAAGGCCAAATTTTGTTGATGATAAATGAGTTTGTCTTGAAAATAAATGAGAAAGAGGATAAAGTACTTACTTGTCAGTAAAAGCAAATATAGTGCCAGAAGGTCGATAGTGGCTCAGGAGGATAGCCATAAAACCTGATCTAGTGAAGACTACAGTAGAGGTTCCAAGGGTGTTAGACATCATTGTCGCATGGAAGGCAAACATCTCACTCATGTGGTTCTGAAGAGGTCCAAAATAAAGAATCAATATATCAGCTCTGACAGTCAAATGCAGCAAGAGCATATAGTGGATGAAAAAAAGTTAGCATGGCTACAGATCAATGTAACTTCAAACCTTGAATACTTGGCCAAGATTAGGCGGCATTTGGCCCCCTGGAATGGTTGCTTCTGTCCGTAATGCTACTGTGTGCATTACTTTCACAGCTTTCAGTGGGAACCTGCATGATAATAAATATAATTATTCCCTTTTCTAGCGAGTAATAATAAGCATAAAGTTTACCAACTTTCAGCCCCTTCCTCGCTTCTGTAGATTACTCAAGATATTATCAGTTAACATCATAATTTTTTCTACAAGAGACCAAAATGCTAATATTGCAATTCAGTATCTACTGATGCTCAAGGACAAAACAGTAATGTCCGCCCTTATTAATGCACATAGTCTAGATACCGTTTGTC